AACAAAGCTTTAATGCCAAAATTTCCCGACTTCACAATGCCGGGTATCAAAAAATCTAATTGGCCTCCATGTGGGAAAAAATATGCCGCACTGCCAAGAGGAGCAATGTTCACAGTGAAGAACCAGCAAGGAAAGCCAAGAAGCCCTTTGCAGTAGTTTTGTATTTTCATAAGGTCACCCAAAAATTGAAAAAGATAGCGAACCAGCCAAACGTTCAAGTTGTGTGCTAGGCACCAATTTCAGATAAAGTAAGTAGGCAGGCGAGCTGGTTGATGTTACACATTTTTGAAAACCGGAGACGACGGACGAGCGAGGGAGTGGGTCCAAAGCAGTCCAACGTGGTTAACCCAATGAATGTGGTCGTTTCGAGGCGTTCGGCTTCGTTGTTAGAAAAAGGTTCCAAGTTTTGTTTGAACGTTGAGCCGTCGAGGTTGGATATTGTGTCGTGCATCCACAGCATAGCTGCGAGAATTCCAATGGACGCGAGGCAAGGTTTCGTAGACCAATCAATTAAGGCTGTTTCAAGGTTAGTTGGTCCTGGGAATAGACCTGAAAAAAGAGATTTCAAAGCTGTTAAGGAGCTTAAGAAAGAGTTACAAGTGGGTAAACTTTCAGTGCTACAGACTGACAAAACCGGGAAGTTTGCGATTTTGCCAGAGCCCGAGTTTCGACAGAAATCAAGAGCAGCGATTGCGGGGTTGTTTCAGCCTGTCAAGGTTAACCTCAGACAGATAAAAAGGAATGTGCTGGCAATTCTGAATGAGTGTAAGATGGAGAAAGTGGCGAAAAAGGTTGGAGAGGTCACAAGGGACTCGTTTTCTATCAAATTTTTTCTAAAAGACCACACGCCTATGTTGCCGCTTAGGGTAGTTGTCAACGAGAATGGAACTTGGCAAAAGGTTGTGTCGACTTTCCTCCAAGGTTGTCTGTCGACAATCGAGTTGAACAGTCCTATTGGTCTCAGAAAGTCGGAAGAGCTTGTGAGCTGTTTGGCGCCTTTCCACCAGCAGAAGTGCGAAGTCATGTCACTAGACATTAAAGACTTGTATTACTCCCTCCATCAACCTTTGCTTCTCTCGAGAGTAAGGGACTTGTTGGAGGAAAACTTAGTTCGGTTCCAGTCACAGTCCGGGATAGACGTAGGAAGTTTTCTTAACTTAACGGAATTATATCTAAACTCCACAGCTGTAGAATTTGAGGGGGCAAATACGCTCAAAAGAAAGGGGTCTGTATAGGTTCATCGTTGGCACCGGCTTTGTCCGAGATTTATTTGGCTTCTTTGGATTCGGCCTTGGGACAAATTGTACAATCATTCCCAACAGGGTCAGTGTTGATCAGGAGATACGTTGATGATATTTTGATATGTTCGGTTGAGAAGGGAGCACTGCCTGAGATCAAAGATCTCATAGTACAAGCAGCGCCTGAGTTGTCCTTTAGCAGTGAGGAGCCTGTTGAAGGTGAGCTGCAGTTTTTAGATCTTAGGTTGGACACAGTGGACGGGTTGTGCTGGGAATATGGAAAAGTAGCGGCAAAACCTTTGTTGCCCTACAAAAGTTGCCATTCCAAATTGGTTAAAAGAGGGGTGGTCATGTCTCTGCTAGACAACGCTTTGAAAAAATCTTGTCGGCACAAAGTACATAAAGCTGTTATAAGACAATTAGAACGCATTAAGGAGGCAGGGTATAAGAGTAGCCTTGTGGAGGGTGTCGCAAGGAAGTGTGTGGTGAGACTCAGAGGAGAAGTGAGGAAAGAAATTGAGAAACCAGAGAGGGTAGTGTGCATTCCTTTTTTCCATAAGTTTTCGCACAACTTGTTGGCGGTTGCTGGGAGATTCAAGATAAAGGTGGTCTTCACTCCCGACTTTAAGTTGAACAGGCTTACGCCGTTCGTGGGAGGGGCGCGAGGTTGTCAGAAACGGCACAGAGAAGCTGCCGTTGATTGCCAGGTTGGTGTAGTGTACGATATTCCAATGGCCTGCGGTTTCACCTACGTGGGGCAGACAAAAAGGTGCTTGAATGAGAGACTGCTTGAACACATGAGGGTAGTTAGGATCGGGTCTTCAAACTCTGAGATTGCTAAACACGTACAGGAGTGCAATAATTGTCTGCCGGAGTGGGGGTCTACTGTTGTTTTGAGCAAAGAAAAAGATTGCGCAAAAAGAGTTTTGAAAGAGACAATTAGAATCACGACTGTAGGAAACTATATCAGTCAGCCGTCAATCGCATTAGACGAAGCGACCCGAAAATTTTTGCTGTTGTAAATTTTTTTTTAATGTTTTAATGCGGCGTGTTTGTGCGTGATACGAGATGCGAGTTAGGCCTTGCAGCTTGTGTGAAGGTGTGTGCGTTGGGTCCGACCTTCGGGGGTTGCGACAATGAAGGGAGTTCGGAGATTTGAATTGTTATCAGACTAGACGAAGCGACCCAAAAAGTTTTGTGTTGTTATCAATTTTTTTTTTTTTGCCAGTTAGGTTACGTGGGGTGTGAAGGTGTGGTTCCTTGGGTCCGACTTTAGCGGGTGTGATGATGGTGCTTGTATTGCAATGCTTTGTACAAACTAAGTGAGGTGATAAGAGAGAGAGAGAGAAAAAAAAAAGGGTCAAGACGAGATGTACCCTGGCTAAACGTTGCTGTGACGTGGGAAGTTCCGGAAGACGTGTGGGAGAGATGCTATATAAACGACTGTTCAAATAAAATTTAGTAGCTGCGTTTGAGACGTTTTGTGTGTTGTCCCCTTCTTCGTCCGTCGTCTCCGGTTTTCAAAAATGTGTAACCAATTTCAGATAAGGCTTATTCCTTATGCCGCAGGATTAATCAGGCACAAACCGACAGAAAAGGTATGTGTGACACCAGGCACAGGACAAAATACGTTCCGTGCCAAAAAGGAGTCCTTTACAGCATAGTATTTACATGTGGACGCTGCTATATTGGACAGACCGGGAGATGCGTAAACGACCGTGCACGTGAACATGTGGCCAGCCTGAAAAATCTCGCTGGCCCAGGGCACCTCGCTGCCTGCTGTCGAACTTGCAAATGCAAAGCAAAGCTTGAGCAATCCCGTATCATAGGGCACCATAAAAACCAGCTTGCAAGGGAGATGTTGGAGGCCTTGGCTATAGACAACGAAGAAGAAAAAAAACTGTGTGAGCTCCGCCTCAATGAACCTGCAACCTCAAGGAGAGCTCTTTCTGCAGGGCGCCCTCCCTGCTCAGTATATAAAAAAATAGGGTGGAAAGGGGGGGGGGGGGGGGGGGAGTAACACAATTCAGGATAAAGAATAAAAAAAATGCATACTCATAAGAACTAGTTGAAGAGAAGGACGATTTATTAAAATAGTTGGTAGTCCAGCGGTGGGTTGTCTGTTCTGTTTCTCCTTCCTTCATTGTTCAGCTGGTTCCACCCGTAATGGCTAAGAACCACCAGTAGAGGCTGGCAATGAGCGAGATCATCGCTACAATTAATACTTTTAACGATATAGTATATGGACAATGACCACCTAGGAGCAACCTCACAGACCAGTGTACAGACGAGGAACATTCGGTATAGAGCATAGGAAAGCACGGTCGCCGTTTTTACTCTGTTTTTTTTTTTTTTTTTCATTATTATTTACCACCTTTAACTAAAGATCTAAAAAAAATCTTTTTGCGAAATTACGTTTGCGTGCCCGATTTCAGGTTCAAAGGTTTGGAATTTGAACTTTGCAAAGCGTGCTAATTGTGGTGGTCCTGCGACCGAATCCTGTATCATCCGTTTTATATACGGCTTGTCCATATTAACGGGGTTTAAATTAGTGAATAAGAACTGTATAAAGCAAGCAACTGTACACCACGCGCCATTTTTTTAAACATATAATTATAAAGATTTCGAAAAAAATTACGCTGTAGAAAGTAGGATTCCAGCAATTTTTTAAATATTTATTTTGATTTATAGTGAGGCGCCAAAACTCAAAGCCGTTTGAGTTCTCACTTTCAAATCTCGTTTTTAGCAAATTGCTCATCTGAAATATGAAAACCTTGCCTAATTAAACTATACTTTCCAGACGTATTCTCTGCAAAAGGCCACAAATGTCGATCAAACAATTCAATTGAAAAATAAATTAAATATTGTTTTCTTGATGTTGATGCCCACAGCACATCAGAAAAGTATTCACATGCTTTATACATGTAAAGAGCTCATTATTAAAACTTTCTTTCAAGCTCAGTAGCCATCTACACAAGCGCTCCTCAGCTAGGCAAGTATTTATTGAAGAATGAAGTGTAGTAAGTTTGGATATTCCGTGTTCCCAACTTCCAGGCCTAACCTGCACCCATCTTTATAATACTTGTGTTATTTATTTTTTTACTGTACATTAGCTTTATCAGCCATGAAGGTACAATAATTGTCCGAGTGCACTGTATTTGTTAGCAATAATCTCACATGTCGTCTGAATACTGTTTTCTGTGAGAGCGGGATTCAAAGCGGCCCGATTCATTCATCAGAACTACTCAACCCTTATAAGCGTGTCCCAACTAAAATCTGAATCCTGTCTTTCGGCTTTATCTACACGTAGAATACTGCCTCGGCTGTGCTTCTTCAGTAACCTGTATTAAACCTCCCATATTTAAGATCCACTGATTATCATCCACCTTCCTACATAATTTATGGTGTGATCATCCTCTCGAAATTGAACCATTACAACCACTTACTAATCGCCACAAATTTTCCCCACTTTCGCTATTCATCAACGACTGGAATTCGCTGACTGACCTTATAGTAACCGATACTAACCATGTTTCGTTCACATCCTAGGGCAAAGCCTTTTTTGGATATGTATTACTCTTTGTCTTTTTGTTCTTTTTTGCCTTCAATTTCTTACTGTGATATTTTTTAGTAATTTTTTGCTGACTTGTTTACTCCTTCTCGTGCAATACATCCAAGTTATGTCTTTGAGAATAATAAACTTGAAATTGAACCTACCATAAAACCTCTTATCAGAATGTTCTATTTTCTTATCTTCCGCAGATGCGAGCCGTCATGAAGCCTCTAGTCCCTCTTCTATTTTTTCTGGTCAGCTCTCGAGCACAAGGCAACGATAAACTTACCCTCGCCAACAATCAGTTCGGCCTGCGATTACTCAATACTCTTCCAAGTCCTCCAGAAGAAAACGTATTCTTCTCGCCCTACAGCATATCCACAGCCCTCGGTATGGCGTACGCCGGAGCCAGGGGAGACACACAAGAAGAGCTCTCGCAACAGCTAGGTTATACTGCCGCGGGGCTAAGCCAGGACGACGTCTTCAACGCGTACTCCGACCACACGCAGTGGCTCAAGGCTTCTAGGTCTAACTCGACGCTAAGCGTGGCAAACGCCGCCGTCCTACATGATAAAGTGGGGCTCCGGTACACGTTCCAGAGGACCATCGATCACGCTTTCGACGCCGACATTCTGAAGGTCGACTTTGTAAACGAACGTAAAGGAGCCATGGATCGCATCAACTACTGGGTGAAGGACAAGACGAACGGAAAGATTCGGTCGCTTTTTAACAAGCCGCTAGAGTCTGAGACAAGACTTCTTCTCCTCAACGCCATCTACTTCAAGGGATCCTGGAATACCAAGTTCAACAAGAGTAGGACCGAGAAGAGAGAGTTCCTCAATGGCGGCGTCACTCCGACCAAGGTTGACACGATGATGGGGAGCATTAACATCGGCCACCGTTTCTTCACGGACCTTCAAATTGATGTGGCGGACTTCCCGTACCAGGGACGGGACTACAGCATGACAGTCATCCTGCCCTGGAGGAACGACGGCGTAGAAGCGATCAAGCAGAACCTCACTCTGGACCTGTTTCAGAAGCTGGTGTCGGAGCTGAGGGAAAGAAGGGTCTTCGTGTATCTTCCAAAGTGAGTTTGATAGGTTTTTTGTTGAACTATATAAGATACAGCCCTACGCTTTGATGACAGCTGAGTGATCACTTTAAAAACAGTAATTCGTATTATTCCGTAGACTTCGGAGGCAAGCGAGAAATCGACTAGATGAAGATTCAGCGATTAGCCCTATACTGTTATTAATTCCATCTCAATATGTTTGAAATACATATTTTCTAAACAAGATTCCTTCATGTGGATACACAAAGAGAACTTCTGCAAAATAAGCTGAGGTTTCAACTCAGTAACTAGTGCTTTTCTCCGGGATACCAACTAACATGTAAAAACGCAATTTCAGTATTGTATCACACCATGCTTATCACTAATCGCAACTGCCAAATACTTAACAGCCTTCTAATTGATTTACAAAGCAAAAATATAGCGAAGAAAAAGTCTGAATGAAAGGTATGGTGTTAAAACTAACCACTGCTCTCATGGTATGAGCCTGCTGCGAAATATACGAAAAATGTGCCCGGCAGCGTTTGCTCACGCATGACGTCAGAACAGTGGCGATTGCGTCGCACGCAAAGCGAACGTGCCACCGGGCGAAGTTCGTTGGTTGTTCGCCGCATATCCGCTCAGTGGAGTGCAACCTTTAGAGAACACTATTATTAAAAATTTTGATTACAACTCAAAAAGGGACTTGATTAAAAAAAAAAAGATGTGATCTTACTTTTTTTAGACTGTCTTTATATTTAGTTGTTGCTCTCTTATACTTGATACAGTGATGTATATTCTAGGCGTGACAACTTCGCTTGAGCTAACCGAGACGTATTGTAATCTTACCCTCCGGAACTCCAGCTAACGCGGCAGAGAAATGTCTAACTTGGCAGAAGCTTGGCAATCCTAGAAGCCTAATGTGGGCTCATACGGTTTTGCCCCATGACGTATCTTAGTGCCGGGGTGCTTTCCTCTGGCGCTTTTATTGATTTTCTATGTCCCGCTACATCATTACCAAAGTGGCAAACTGGAGACAAAGTTATGTACCTAAGTACTAGAAGGGAACCCTCTATCTGACACTTGTTTGGCAATTTAGGCCCAAAGTTACCGCACAAAAAATGCACAACTAGAAGCTAGGGAAACCTAACTCTGTCACTTCTTTGGCGATCTACGCCCTAAGATACCAGTTGTCAGCGAAACTACAATTATGAGAGCCCAACTCTAAAACTTCTTTCGCATATTAGTTTCTTGAACTCTGACTAAAGAGGTTGCTTCGTCGGACTTTTTAAAGCCCTAAACGCCCAGACAAAAAAAAATATTTGGGCCCCCAAAAAATTGTTACCCGGGTATGGTCTTTCTGAGGAGATGATTTACGCTTTAGTTCTGAAAATCAGCTATGTTCTTTCCTTGCGCAGGTTCAAAATAGAGGCAGAGTACTCCCTGAAGGAGCCCCTTCAGCAACTGGGCATCAAACAGATCTTCAGTGGTGGCTCCGACCTGTCCGGCGTCACAAACGACAACGATCTGGTGGTGTCCGCCGTCGTCCACAAAGCGATCCTGGAGGTCAACGAAGAAGGCAGCGAAGCAGCAGCCGTGTCGAGTGTTGTGGCCGTCACAAGGATTGGCACGCAGGCATTCGAGTTCAACGTCGACCATCCCTTCCTCTTCTTCATACGCAACACGGTCACCAATGACATCCTGTTTGCGGGACAAGTGAACAGTTTCTGAACAATCGCCAGGCTTCAAAACACCTCGTCCGACTGGAGCAACTAATAACTGCGGCTCGCAAACGTCATGCACATGTTTCCAGCAATCGTGCGTGTTTTCCGTTAGTGCCACCAGGTTCGCGCAAACAAACATGCTATGTTACAGATAGCACTGTTTATGGTAGCGTCAGCCCACAAAAAGTTGGTTTTGTTTTGTTGGCGGACACAAATTTGTATTTGTCACGCCAGTGGGACTAAGCCACAAGAACTGCCCATCGTCGGGGCACACACCCCACATTTGCTACTTTATAGGCTGAGCGCTGTTCATCAGATGAAGCCGCGAGAATTCAATTTGACTATTTGACTAGTGCCAACGCGATGCCCCGTCAGAGGCGCAGTCTGCAGCTGGTGACATGGCGGTTCAGTAGTTTCATACCAACTTTTATGAGTTACTATTCATAAGACTGTTCAAGATATAAATTTTGACGACCTTGACGAGCCGATGGGATTGTACGAGCGAGAAAACAAGGGGGGGGGGGGGGGGGGTTAACTCCAGTGGACGGGCATCATCGGTCGATAGATATCACTTCCCGTAGCCTAAGCACAGGACAGCGACTATGAAAGCGTGTGCATGTCTTTAGGAAAAGCCTTGTCGCACGCAGGCGTGTGCAGTAAGGCATCTTCGTGTGTCATGAGTGTAAGTTCATGGCCTCTCGTGTACTTTCTTTGAAGTTGCAAATTATTACGGCAGGCGGAACAGTAGACCCTGCAATAAACTGCCTAATGTTTTAGCTTTTTGTACGTCTGATCAATTTTCGCTTCCTCTATTATTGTTTCTCAGGAACCTGAAGACTGATTCTGATGTTTAGAGTCAGTCTCAGAGTCTGACAGTACTAGCTTCGCACATTTTCAGAAACTGGCATTTACATTCAAAACAACGTCGGGACGACACAATGCAGCCGGAGGACATGCTTTTGTTTCATAAGACACCTGCCCCTAATGAACCTCTTCTCGGCAAGCGCAGTTGCACAGAAGTAGCACAGAACAGAAGTTGACGACAACTGGGTGCCTGCAACAAACTTCACTCCTTGAGAATGCTAAAAAAAAAAAAGAAGACATTAATTAGAAGAGCAACCAAAGTAGCACGATGGTTGGATAATTCCTGTCAGAAGCACCGCTTAAAGTCCTTTTGTAGAAAGGACAATATCCTAAAGGAGAAAGTGTTCGTGTGACACAGCACCGTGTCGCAACACTAAAACATCCGCGTCGGGGAAGGAGCTCGCTAGCGTCCCTTGTACATGGGAAGCACTCTCGACAGTAGGCGCTAACGGCACTGGAGGCGAGCTGGCGTATAATTTCGTCTCCCTGTGGTTAGAAATTTAGCAGACTGACCTCAATACTGTTTTTGTCAGGCGTTGACTGACAGCACTGTACCCTTTAAAAGCTTTCGTTGATAATTAGAATATTAACTGTGTCAGAGACAATATGTACGTTCTTCCTCCCCACTCGTCTCGGGCTATTCCCCAACTTGCCCGCGCGCTCACTCTTCTTTCGGCTACTGTAAAACCCTTAACGTTCGCGAGCCCTCAATTTTCGCGAATTTCGCGAATTGACGGGTTCGCAAAATTTAAGGGCACGCGAAAGACTGTCTTTAAGAGATTCAGTGCGGGCGTCTGGAATTCGCACAATTTAATGGCCGCGATTATGTCCTCTGTGACCGATTCGCGAAAAATAGGGGCCGCGAAAATAAAGTGTTTTACAATATTGCAGCAATAAAGCATTAAAGTCGGATATAAATAATTTTCAGATTTTAACTAGAGAAAGATACTAGTTTGACACAAAGGTTTCAGTAAGCAGGCAATCACTTAAGGTCTGTTCACACGATGCATCTTTTAGGCGCGCAACAGTTTCGCGACACTCAAGTTTCGCGAAATGTGCTCGTTCACACGTACCGCTTCACGTGCAATAACGATGACGTTTAGACTCGCGAAAATAGTTTGGGTGCTGACCATAAAGTGGCGCTTCAGTTAAAAGCCAACATCATCATCATCACCATTAGCCATTCAGCGTCGTGTTCTCCATCTCCCGCCACATTCTAACCGCCAGCAGCCAACATCATCATCATCACCATTAGCCATTCAGCGTCGTGTTCTCCATCTCCCGCCACATTCTAACCGCCAGCATCGCCGGCAGCTCCGCCGCCGCTGGTTCGAACACTCCTTCGTCCCCGCACCGTCCCGTTTTCGGCACGGCGCCCACGGCGCTTTCGCCGAGACGGGGCGAGGCGCCGGCTGTGTGAATGAGGCCTAATTGTCTTCGTCCATCGCTGGATTTTTTTCCGATGTGCTACACACTTTTCCTTCAGTGGTGCTTGACGTGCTTGCGGAAGCGCCAGCAGTATCCATCGTTCGTGGTTTCGGTTTTTTTCGGATTTGGCTCGGCTACAACACCGGCAGTGAAGTGGTCTTCTCAAATAGCTCGCTCCCCCCTCAAAGGCCACGTGAGAGCGTTTCTGAGCTGCCATTGGCGGCGCCCTCAGAGTGATTGACAGGACTCGGCAAAGTTTCAGCAAAAGCTCGCTCCAGAAGCGAGGTGTGCGCGCAACTTTTTTTAGATGCGCGCGTCCTTTTCTGACTTGTTCAGACGGCGCAACCGTTTGATGCGCGAGAAAAATGCATCGTGTGAACGGGCCTTTAGTGAACTGAAACTTTAGTATACTGTCGTGTTTGCCAGTGTCTGGCTATGACACGAAAGCTTCTGCAAATGTTTCCTTTAATTAATATTAGAATTATTTGCGTTTTAATCACTGCCCATAAAAGAAGCATTAACTTGTAATGTTTGAAACGATTACAACAGTTTAGAATAATAGTTTTAGCATCGGTTTTAACTTCGTCTTTCACTCCCAAAGGAATCAATATCGGTGATAAATAGCCTTTAGCGGGCCTTTGACAGCAGCTCCTTTAGCTGAATATCCTTCAGCGGAAAGGATAGTTAATGAAAAAGAGCTTTGGGGCGTCGTTTGACGGGGGTATTAGCCGTGCTTATGACGAGCATGCTTCCAGGTCTAGACATTATTATCCTGGTAGCCTGTCTCGACACAATACTAACTTTTTACTCCATTAGCAATAGTATGTTCATAGTAAATTTAGCACCAAAGAGGCCAAGTAATTTTACAAACTTCTGTTTGTTTCTCTTCAAGCTGAAGTTGGATGCATGTCCTACCGTGTAACAGCACAAACTCAAACACGCAACTGCGGTTGAAATGGTTGGTGGCTCCACTCGGCGTCAAAAAATAAAACCTATGTGCTTGACTACGGCTTTAATGATGGCACCAGCAAGCCAATCTTCCCCTCCGGCCATCTAATTCTAATAAAAATTAGCGTAATCGCCGTAAAAAAAAAAAAAAAATGACTGCACTTAAACCAGTATACTCCAGCGTTCAAAGAGTAGATCAGGTGTAGTGTGCCCTGCTCTCTGTGACCTTTTTATTTTTTTTTTTTTTTTTAATAAATTACTTACGTACCAGGCGCTACCAGGCGAAGTTTCACAGAAACAACCAGCGAAAGTATTTAGGTGCTGCCCGAGACTCCTGCATAAAAGGAAGCAATTTACGCTTGTATTGTAAGTGGCGGGAGAGGAACGGTAAGTCGACACTTTCGAATGTACCGCGTTAGCACGCGTCGGGTCGCCATCTGCCGGGCTGCGTCTGCACACTCGAAGCTCTCGAGACGTCTAAGCGTAGTCGAAGGAGCCTCGCGCTGGTGGAGGGACAACTAAAAGACTACCCTGCTGTTTTCATCCTGGCTGTTACTCGAATAAGTACTAACTTCGCGACCAAGACTGACGTGACAGTGAAGGCTTAAGGAGGGGCACGGCATGCCGCAGCACGAATCGGCAGACCCCAAGTTCATCTCACCAAAATGTCCTGCGCCATGCCTGTTGGTTGTCGGTAGCTTGTAAGAAGCGGTGTAAGCATACTTCGGTGCTACCCAGGGTAGAGGCTATGATTTTTTTCGTGCTCCTTAACTCTATATACTTCCATATTAGTACGGTTCGGTTTTGAGCGACTTCCTTTGTAACTTACTCGTTGGACTGGTAAACGTTCGTTTCGGCTTGCGGGACAGAGATTGGGCGGGACACTTGGGCGTAGCGAAATCCGGGAAATTCTCTCTTGCAGTTCAAGCTGCTCAGAAACCATCCGATATCCTCAATCAGAATTGCGAGACCACGCCTCGCGTCTCGTCAATGGGTGCCTTCAGCTCCCTCCTGTCGGGATTGTTGTTCACGCTTTCCTCGTATAAAATATTCGAAGTAACCAAAATAAAGCGTTGACGAACTCGCGTGCAAGATGCCTTTGTTTTGGGCATTTGCTTTAGAAAAGTTACTGCTGCTGAGGCCAGCACGTGCGGCGCGTGGAACACCAATCCCTCATTCTCCTTGATGCTTGGGTAATTTAGCAATAGGTCTGAAAGACTGTCTGAGTCACGATAGAGATCATACAGGGTGATACAAGGAGACGCCAGGCTCATTAAATCGACCGGAAAATTCGGTTTCTTAACCTACCGCGCTACGACTTTGTGCAGCGTTGCCCACAGATGGTGCATTTTTTTTTGTGTAAAATTTGCAAAGAGCGAACTTACCTGAGGAATAAGTAAAGAAATAAAAAGGTTTAGCTCCTATGGAAACGCAGTGACGCCACCGGTCTTCAAACAACACGGCGCCTTTTCGCACGGGAGACAAGAGATGGCGCAAGCGGTCGCGACGCCAACTGCCGCCAACGAACGAGCAGACGACGCCGAGAGCCGGCCCTTTTGCAGACAAGGAACTGCAGTTCCTTGCTGCTACCGCGCCTGTCTTTTTTGTATCTGAGACTGTCGCCGCCTGCGGAACGCGCGCCGCTTTTCAGTCGATAAGATCGTCTGCTAAAAAGGCCTGCTCTCGGCGCCGTATGCTGGTTCGTTGGCGGCGTTTCTTGCGCCATCTCTTGTCTCCCGTGCGAAACGGCGCCGTATTGTTTGCAGACCGGTGGCGTCGCTGCGTTTCCATAGGAGCTAAGCCTTTTTCGTTCTTTACTTTTTCCTCAAGTAAATTCGCTCTTTGCAAGTTTTACAAAAAAAAAAAATGCACCATCTGTGGGCAACGCTGCACAAAGTCGTAGCGCGATAGGTTAAGAAACCAAATTTTCCGGTTGATTTAAAGAGCCTGGCGTCTCCTTGTATCAATCACCCTGTAGATTGAAGAGAGGGAGCAACAAAATCCATGGAGAACGTTTGCAATTTAATGACGGACGCCTCCTGGTCAGATTAGTCGTAAGTGCTCATGCGGTGCTTTTTCGCGTGGCAAGAGGAAAGCAGGCGGAGAAGCTGAGACGCTCGCAGACCACCAACGCGTTCGTCACCTCCTCGCAGATCGTGTTGCAAACGCGGCCGATAAACCATGTGACCTCAATCGAAACCACGTGACACCAATCGAGCAGGTGCGAGCTCTAGGTCACGGTCGCGGCGCGTTCGTTTCTTGTGAATGCTTGTATTAACAACGTTTCTGGCTTTTTTTGTGTTTTTTTTTAAATTTTGCTCGTGAGCGGCATTGCGAGAAACTTTACAGGTGACACGAAGGAAGGAAAAACGGGTTAAACTGGTGACACCAAGTTTTGATACGGTGATTGTCAGTATTCAACATTGTCATTTAACATTGTCATTTAAAACTTGCTTGCGTATGTTTATTTATTTATTTTTTTTTTGTCGTACGGCTGATCAGTGTAGATGTTTTGCTTTTGAGATAGTTGGCTTTT